GCTCTTCCATGCGGAGGACCATTTGTAGCTTTAGGGCTTCTAAATGGGAGGATATGAAACATACCGAAGGTTAAACAGGCAATGGTTAAAGATGAGTAATAAAAAACAGTATAAACCAAGGTCTGAGAAGGGGAGCTAGCTAATAGGGATGGCATTATATCTTTAACTAGAGGCCTGGTGCATGAATTCATGCACGGGTGGGGTCCCTTGGCCTGGCGGGTGATCTGGACCTATCGGGGCCTGGGGCCGATTGGGGCAGGCCCGTGGAAGGTTGGCTGGCTGGCCCTCCCCGATTGGCCCCAATCCGGGCTGCCGGCTGGGGGGAGTGGCCGCCCCATCAGAGCCGATTGGGGCAGGCAGGCCCGGGGAAGGGACCGCGGGAGGTTGGCCAGCCAGCCCACCCCAGTCAGAGCCAATGGGGGTGGGCCTTGGGGGAAGGGGCCGCAGGCCAGCTAGGGGGAGGGGCTGTGGGAAGTTGGCTGGCCACAGGAGGTTGGCTGTGGGAGCACATTGACCACCAGGGGATAGCTTCTGCATTCAGCGTCTTCCCCCTGGTGGTCAGTGCGTGTCATAGCTACTGGCCAGTCATCCAGTCATAATGGTCACTTAGGCTTTTATATATATAGATTGGTGCCCAGACTTCTGGGGCAAGAGGCTATGAGGTGTGGACGAAAGGGGCCACATGCTGACCTGACAAGCTCAGGAGAGGCCTGCATGGCAGTTTTGCAGACTTGAGACCTAAAGTAACCACAAAGGATGGTCTGAAATTAAACCTTAACTAAAAGCAATTATGGTGGGCAGTTACGTCCTAAGCCGATATCTTCACTGATAAGGTCAACCTTTACCGTAACTGAGCCTATCTGTCTTTTTGCATCTATGATAACATACCCTTAAAATGTCTGGGTAACTTGTGATTTCCCTGAATCTGGAGCCCCTGGGGCACAACCAGGTGTGCTGGGCCCAGGACAGATGCAGCAGATTCTTTCATTTATCATGTTAATTATTCCTGCACCCACCTAAGTATGTGTCCATCATTTTACTTTTTATCCTATCACAGAGGTTTCCCCGCTTCACTTAATCCCACCTCCTTAAATCTGTCACCAATGAATTTCATGTATAAATACGCATGTAACCCTGCCATTCTCCGGAGCACTATCTCAATTCGTTGAGGTTCTGCTTCCTGGCATATGTCGACAGTTTGGCTCAAATAAACTCACAAAAATTCTTTACAGGTTTCAATGGTTTTTTTACGTTAACAGAGGCCTTCCTTTTAGCTAAGCTGCTTGCAGTAAAGAGTGTTATTCATGGCACAGACTTTGCCCTGCCCAATCGAGGGCTTTTCTGTGAATAAAAATCTGTCAGGCTTACTTGGGGCTCCTTGGAGGAGAAGGTAGTCCTCTGAGGAGCCGGATTGAGAGACCCCAAGCCCCATCAGTCCTGTTGGGCAAGCTGGTCACCAGCCCTGTCCCAAGGGACCTCAGTCTCCAGGGGCAGTCCGACTTCCAGTGGTTTCCTTGACAGACAGAATAGGGCTTCAGGAGTTCACCATGCCCCTTGGGACAATTCCGGCCCATAAGTCCAACCTGTCTACAGTTGTAGCAGGTGCCGGGACTGACCATTCGCCTCTAGGCTCTGACTGGGGGCTCTTGCCTTGCCAAAGCGTGGCACAAAGAACCTTGGTTCTGGCCTGGCTTCCCCTATTTCTCCTTTTTCCTTATTCTGGTCTCTATTATAGAACACAGAAGTGGTAACTTTCAGGAGATTTTTTAAAGTACTTTTGGGACCAATAGCCAATTCTTGCAACCTCCTGATATCTGGGATAGCCTGAGTGATAAATTTGTCCTTTAAAATTAGCTGTCCCAATTCTGAATCTGGGGTAATGTTGGTACGCTTAACCAAAAGCCTTCTTGAGCCTTTCTAAAAAGCTGAGGGGTTTTTGTTATCCCCTTGATTAATGGTGGTTAATTTAGAGTAGTTAACAGGCTTTGTTTTATTACATTTGAGGCCTTCTATAATACAGAACTGGCAATGCTTTATTTTCTAATATATTTTGCTTTTCAGTGGCAGAGAGGGTCAGGTGTAATATGAGCATGATATACATTTGGTCTCTATATGAGAGATCAAATACTTGAATGAGGTTTTGGAAGACCTCAATATATTTGTCAGGGTCTTCTGAGAACTTTCCTAGATCACTTTTAATTTGTCTCATATCCCGGGGTAAGAAGGGGATCTGGGCTAAACTATGGCCAGATCCTTCTTCTGTCTTGGGGTAAGCTAAGGTTGGCTCAGCCCTGGGTGGGGGTGCAGTCTCCGCCCTCTCTCTCAGTGGACTTGGGTTGTTATTGCCAGGAGCAAAGGATTAAATTTATAGTTTCCCACCTGCCTTTGACTTGGCCCCTAGAATAAAGAAAGCCTGGATATATGGGACTTCCAACTACTTCCCATTTTTCCTACTGAAAAGATTAAAACTTCCTTCTGGGGCTAGTTTTCACTATTTTCTAGTTGGCATTTGAGGCCAAACCTGAGGGCAGATAGAGATCAGGTGTTATTTCTTTAAGATTTGTGGGTCAATATTATCACAACTTTGAGGATGTATCCTAAGGGCTGTCTTTTAGGTAAAGTAGATAACATGCTTCCCATCTGAAAGAAGAAAAGAAGAAAGAAAAGAAATTATACAAGGATGACCAGCATCCTTGTACCCACAAATGACATCCTGCATCCACTGTGTACGCCTCTTTTATGGGGGCAGGGGCACGTCCCCCTCCCAACCAAGGGTACCTTTGCCAGTGAGACGCCTCCTTTCCTGGCCAAGGGTGTATTTTGGAGTTAAGACCTCACGCGTAAATCTGGAGTGAGTGGCCCTTACTGCGTACGGTCATAGTCGGGTGGAATAACCATACTTTACCACTGCACCCCGACTACCCAAGCTTACGCAGAGGTTGTGGGTTCCTCCCTTGTCTCCTGGGGGAAGTGTGTATAAACTGTGTCTTGCTCTCAGGCCCCTTGTCTGTGATTAAAAAGGGCCTGAGCTGACCATAATGTTTTGAAGTACCCACTGAACTGGATAGGTTGAAGTACCTGCTGAACTGAATTTCCAAGGGGTCTACTCTAGGATGAGGACTTAAGAGAGTTTACACAGTATCCGGAACCCTGGTTCGGCCAGTATCCAGGAAAGTATAAACAGCTCTGGTCCCCGCCCCTTGTATGCCCTCAGTATTAAAGGATTTATCCTCTGTCTGATTTTTGGGAAAAGGATGGAATTTCTTTCTGGCCTGATTTTATATTTTAAACTCCCTGTTTATTGGCTTAATTTTTAATTTTTATTGACCCTTAATTTCTGTTGTTTTATTTCCAAACCTTAAAAATGCCATCTTAAAGATTTTTATCTCCTTTTAAACAGGGCAACCAACTTGGTTGCTCCCCTGAAAAACGCCTGGGAGAGGGACATGCTAGTTGCCTTTGCAGGGAACAGTTTAGGTAAAAGGCACACGTTCTTAGTTTTTATTAATGGTGAATATTGGTGGAAAAGATTTTTATTTCCCCCTTTTTAAACTTAAATTTATCCCTGAATATTTAGTGTTCATCTGTACATTTTACTCAGGTATGTTAGAAAGGGGTTACTACCTTCTATATATCTAATAATTCCATAAAGTTTTACAAATCCTTATTTAATTTAAAGATCTGACCTGCTTAGAAGCCTGCAATTTAGAGTAAGTTAGAGTCCTTTCCATGGGTTTTTCTAAAGACTTAAATGCACCAAAGTAAGGCAATGGTTGTCCAATGACAAAATTTAAAAGTGGCATGGTTATATATTTGTTTAAAAATGCAATGGATAAAACCTTTACTTTATAATATTCTGAGACAACAACCTTCTAGTACACAAACAATTTGTATATAAAAAAATAACATGTGGCACATGGCTTATTGCAGACCGTATATTAAGTATTGAAACCAATTTATAAATCCCAATAAATGAAATATAAAATACCCAGAGTGTCATTGGCAGTTGCAGAGAATTATTACACTTGCCCTTTTTCCCTGACTGAAAGTTTCCGTTTTGAACTTGGCTTCAAATCTGTGTAAGTTCTTTTCTGAAGTAGACTGAAACCTTTATGACATTCAACGTATATGTATTTAAATAGAACATTGCTATTAATTTTTATTTGACCGAGTTTCCTCATGTAATTTCAAGTATATTGTATTGGTTTAATTTAGTTCAAAAATATTTCTTTTTTTTTAAAATATATTTTATTGATTTTCCACAGAGAAGAAGGGAGAGGGATAGAGAGCCAGAAACATCGATGAGAGAGATCGATCAGCTGCCTCCTGCATGCCCCACAGTGGGGATGTGCCCGCAACCAAGGTACATGCCCTTGACAGGAATCGAACCTGGGACCCCTGAGTCCGCAGACCGACGCTCTATCCACTGAGCCAAACCGGTTCGGCCAAAAATATTTCTTTATAGGGAGAGAGAATAAATCTTTGTATCACCTCAGGGCCCTTGGGATGTCACAAAGCTGTCTCTCATTAAATTCTTGAAATATTACACTTGGAAAAGCTGTCAAATATACCCAATTTAAAGATTATTAAAACTTAAACTCGCCCTAACCGGTTTGGCTCAGAGGATATAGCGTCGGCCTGCAGACTCAAGGGTCCCAGGTTCGATTCCTGTCAAGGGCATGTACCTTGGCTGCGGCCACATACCCAGTAGGGGGCGTGCAGGAGGCAGCTGATCGATGTTTCTCTCTCATCGATGTTTCTAACTCTCTATCCCTCTCCCTTCCTCTCTGTAAAAAATCAATAAAATATATTTAAAAACAAAACAACAACAAAAAAACTTAAACTGGCTTTAACATTAAAGATTTGGTCCAGACCACTGAATTAATTGTTGAATTAACAATTGTTGAATTAACAATTAACAAATTGTTCAGTGGTCCAGACCACTGACTTAATTCTTTTCAATCTGGCTAATAAATTGTTATATTTTAATAATTCCACAGTATACTTCGAATTGTAGAGAAAATGCTGGGAGGACACACTTACCTTCTGCCTATTCCCTTGCTGCCGTGCCCCCAAGGGGAAAAGAAGCGACTGCTCTTTAGCCAGCCTCAGTTCAGCTTAGACCAGCCTCAGTTCACCCTTAGGCCAGTGGATAAGGGTGTCTCCAGCACAGGCATCACAGGCAGGCACGGACCACGTGGTCCCCAATACTTATGCTGCCTACCGGATGTTTAATGGACATGATGCTGGGCGGGGCCCTGCCTCTTTTCTAAGCACTTGCACAGGTTTCGCCAGTGCTGTCTCTTATTCTGCCACTTTTAGAACCAAAAGCCGCTTGTCTGAGTAAAACTGCTTTTTTTTTTTCCTTTTTTGTTTCCTTCTCCCACTTCGCCCCAGGCGGGGAAGACAATGGTTTGTCAACCACAGGTAGGCTACAACTTCAGCTAATGGTCTTTGTTTAAACTTCCCTGGGTTAACATATATGTAACCTTCACAAATTTTACACTTTCAAATTAGCCTTAGAATCTTAAAATCTTAACCCAATAAAATAACCTTTGGTTCTGAGTAACACAGAGCCTACACAGAGCAGAGACAGAGGGCTTTCTATGTTCACAAAGACAGTGAAGAGCAAACTAAGCTAGCAAAGCAATCAGTAACCAAGGTACATCACAGACAAAGAGACTCTCAAGATTCAAACCCTGCCACATGTTCAGCCTATCCACAAACAGCTGGGCCCCAGCAAGGTGGGACGTGCCCTATCTTTAAACATTGATTCAACCATCAATAGAAACATTCTTATACACAATATTTACAAGTTCGCACAATCCACCGACACTCCACAAAGCACTCCATTAAAAAGCAGTGTCTCGAAGGAAACGAAGATGGTGGCATAGGTAAACACCGGAAATTGCTGCCTCGCACAACCACTTCAAAAATACAACTAAAAGACAAAACGGACACCATCCAGAACCACAGGAAGGCTGGCTGAGTGAAAATTCTACAACTAGAAGGAAAGAGAAAAGCACACTGAGACTCAGAGGAGGTGCGGAAGTAAAGTGCAGAGGTACGGAGGCGCACGTGGAAAGGGCTGGCAACTGAGGACGCGGTTGTCTTTTTCAATCGGTAGGGAGACACAAGCTCCCGACTGCTCTGAACTCCAGTTCTGGGCGAGTCTCTGGGGACATACGGGGGGTTCCAGGCTCTCTGGGGCCCCAGACTCATACGGGGAGAAACTGGACTGTCTGGCATTGGTTGGACCTCGAGGGCAGCTTTCTCTCAGAGGTGCTTGCAGCGAATACTGAGGAACACTGAGACCCGGGGCCTCTTAGGGCATAACTGAGGATCAGCCATAGTTGTTTGCCCTGTTGATTCCCTGAGACCCCCGCCCAACCCAAGCTGTGCTCAGAGGCTTTTGCATATGAATGACCTGGCCCTTTGCAATCTAAAATTACCTAACAAACTGCAGCTGGGTCAGAGAGACCCAGAACATCCAAAAGAAGACCCAAGGCCCCACAGCAGCTTGCATT